TTTTAAAACTTCTTGTTATGCACTCTTCATTATTTCAGTTTTTCCTGTGTGAGCATAATATTTCTTTGAATGTTCTTCAGTCCTTAATATTATTTCTTTTGATTACTTTAGTCTATTAGTGATAGTTTCCATTGTGCTTTTTATTTGATTTATTCATTTTTTCATTTTTAACAATTGTCCATTTTTTTTCAAAATCTCCAAATCTTTGTGGAATTTTTCACCTATAACTAGAGTGGAATTCCTTACCTTGTTTATCTGTTTGCATGAGTTGTCCGTCTTGTCATTGATTATTATTTTTTGGTTGGTTGTGGGACTTGAACTCTGGACCAGGGTGCTGTCACTGAGCTCTTCAGCTCAAGGCAAGCACTCTATCACTTGACCACAACAGCACTTCCAGTTTTCTGCTGGTTAATTGGAAATAAGAGTCTTACGGACTTTCCTGCCTGGGCTGTCTTTGACCCGTGATCCTCAGATATCAGCCTTCTGAGTAGCTAGGATTACAGGTATGAGCCACGGGTACCCAGATTCATTGATTATTTTTAAAGGTTGAATTTGAATTATTTTGCATTTTGGCCCTTTCATTATTGAGGAGTTAGGAACTTTGAAAATATATTGCCTTTGAAAATATATTGCCTTTCTTTTTTAAGATTAATTTTATTTTCAGGGTGATATACAGTGGGGTTACATTTGCATAATGAGTACATTTCTTGTAAAACATTATTACCTCTCCCACATTTTTCTCCTATTTTCCTTCCCCCGCAATTTCCTCCTTCCCATGTTTTAAAGTTCATTTCTAACATAGTGTCTTCTGAATATTGCTGTTGCTTTGGTTCAACCTTTGTCCTTTGTCTCACCAATTTGTTGTTCCCTTTCCCTTTCCCAAATTAAATAAATGTATATACAAGACACAGAGCACCAAAATCAAATACAGTGACAATAGGAGATAAACCAAAGCAAAGGAAATAAATCAGAAGGAAAACAAAATAACTTCATACAGTTAAACAACAACAAAGAAAAACTCTGAATAGCTATGTACATACAACCATATAAGATGATGCTAATCAAATTGAACTCCTAGATATAATGCCTTTCTTTATCATATCTTTTATGTTTCTGGGTTGTATTTCATTTGAGATAGATATATTTTCCAATTTTGTTGAGCTGATTTCTTAGTAATCAGCCTTCTCTTGATAGCTGTAGACAATGAACTAGCACAACAGAAACAAATGTGTCAACGTTGTGGTGTATGCAGCCTGAGGGTCTTACCAGTCATAGGTCAGTTTTGGGTACTTAAGATGGCTGTGTTCTCTTTTGAGGTTTCACCTATTTACACATTTTGAATTGCTGCTCACTTCAACAAACTTTTCTGCTTATGAGCTAAGCAACTTCTTTCTTGTTCTGGAGTCCCCTATTTTGTATAACTTTGGCTGATAATTTTCTATTCTAGTAGTTTTCTCTGAGTGCACAGGAGAGTTCAGGCAGAAAACAGAACCTTGTCAGCTCTAGAGAGAATGATCTGCTTATTAATCTGCTTGTAAGCTACCACCCATACATGTTTTAAATTTCTCTTAAGAAAAAGCTATCTTTTCTCTCCCAACATTGATCTGTCCAATTTATTTATATAAAGTGAGATCATGAGTAATTGTAAGGAATTATAATTCATTTCTTCTTCAAATGTTCTGTCCACTGAAGCTTCTTACTGTTAGTTTTGTGATCTTTCAGAAAGACCCTATCCTTTACTTGCACACTTTGTTTCTGGTGCCATAAGTTGTTCAAATTTTTCCTGTGCTATAATCTTAACTTCTCAGGAGGTGAAGATCAGAGGTTTGTGGTTTGATATCACTTTGATTAAGAGTTGTGATAAGACTCATGTTTCCAAGAAACTACTTAGAAAACACCAGAAGTGGCACTATGGCTCAAGTGTTAGAGCACTATCCTTGAACAAAAAGCTCAGGCCTGTGTTCAAACCCAAGAACCAGCACACACACACACACACACACACACACACACACACACACACACACACACACACACACACACCCCTAAAACAGATTTATTAATTATATGGGCACAGTTCTTTTACTTTAGTCTTAGAGAATATGGTTAAAGTATTATTTCCCGAAGTTGCCTAGTATAAATATTTTCCTACTCACTGTATAAATATTTACTTGTATATAGTTAGCTTATTATTGTCATTTATCTTTGAATTTGAGCCTCTCTTCTCTCCCATATCCTCCACAGAGAACTACTTCAAGGACCCCCTACTATAAATTAACATTCAAAATTTGTGTGTGCTCAAGTTCCTTCTATTAAGTGGTAAATTACTCCACATTATGTTTAGAAATTCCCCTATACAGTAGATTCCTGGTACCTACATTTATATTATGTTACAGATACCACCATTGAGGAAAAAAACTGTAAATGTTTGGTATGCATAGATTTCACTACTGTACTGTAGATTATTATACTTTTCCTCAAATTCTAAATACCTTCTACTGAAGCCATGCTGAATTTCAACAAATTTAAAGGTTTATATAAATTAAGCACATAACATATTCATTTTGCTTAGGAGGATTGCCATGACTTTTTATCTTGCTTTGGAGACACAATTAGCTTTTTGAGATATATTTCAACCAAATTTGGGCAGGGAAAAATTCTAAGTTCACAAAAAAAATTAAACAAAACTGAAAAAAATGTGTGACTGGCAAAGTTTCTCTGAATCTGTTGAACTGTGCAGTGAATGCTCAGGAATTTAAGATTTTTGTTTAAGAAATTTGTATTCATTTTTGAAATTAATTATCTTTACCATAATTGGTCAAAACTGTCTATTCTGAATCATCTGTAGATATTCTTTTTTTGCTTTAATACTCCATTTTAACTTGAGGCTTTTCACTTCTTAGACAGATGTTATACTACTTCAACCTATGCCTTCAGCCCTGCTAGATTTAGTATTTTTTTTGTTTTGGTTTTTGTCAGTTGCAGTGCCTGAACTCTGGGCCTGGGCGTTGTCCCTCAGTTCTTCAGTTCAAGGCTAGCACTCTACCACTTTAACCACAGCGCCACTTCCAGCTTTATCTGCTTATGTGGTGCTGAGGAATCGAATCCAGGGCCTCAAGCATGCAAGGCAAGCACTCTGCCACTGAGCCACCTTCCCAGCCCCTAGATTTAGTATTTTTAGACAGTGTCTTGTGTTCTTCACTAGGCTTTCTCTAAGACTCCTATCTCTGCCTCCCATGTAGCCAGGATTAACACTGCACTACCAGTTTGTTGAAATGGAATCTAAATAATATTTTGCAAAGGTTACCCTAAGCCACAGTCTTCCCAATCCCTGACTCCAATTAGCTGGGATTATAGCTGTGAGCTACTATGCCTGATATTTAGATATTTTTCTAGTAAGTGACATATTGTAAATGCTATATAAATAGTTCTTACTCTGTATTGTTTAGGACAAATAACAACTTATACATGTTCAGTACACAATTTTGGCAAACAAGGTGCAATTATCTTCTCTTGAATATTAAGCTATTAAACAATCCATTGCATGTTTTGTTCTCTCTTTTTGGTTGTGGGCCTTGAACTCAGAACCTGGGAGCTGTCCCTGAGCTTTTTGCTCAAGGCTAGCATTCTACCATTTCAAGCTACAGCACCACTTCTGGTTTTTGAGTGGTTGGAGATAAGAGTCTTACAGGGACTTTTCTTCCTGGGTTGGCTTCAAGTAATCCTTAGATCCCAGCCTTCTAAGTAGCTAAGATGAGTTCTGGGTTCTCTCTCTCTCCCTCTCTCCCACTCTCCCTCCCTCTCTCTCTCTCTCTCTCTCTCTCTCTCTCTCTCTCTCTCTCTCTCTCTTTCTCTTTTTCTCCCTAAGATTTGTGCTCAAAGCTAGCACTTTACCACTTGAGCCACAACTTCACTTATGGCTTTTTGGTGATTAAATAAAAATAAGAGTTTCATGGGTTTTCTTGTCCAGGCTGGCATTGGACTACAATCTGGTAGTAGCTAGGATTATAAGCATAATCCAACAATGCCAGGTATTTTCCTTTTTTTGAGGAATACATTTTATTCACTCATTGAACAGTTACATGTCATAAAATACAATGAAAATACATACATTTTTGTATGAATGTCTAATTTCATTTCATTTATCTTGGGCATATACAGAAGTAGGATTGCACTGAGAATAGGTTACTATGTTTAACTTTTTAAGAAACCAAGAAAGTTAAACTTCACCATTTTGATTTGCTATCAATAGTGTATGTGGTTATTTCCTCTCATATTATTTGTTTGTTTATTTTCATAGAATCTTGTATTTTTGACACAAACACTCCACCATTTGATCCACATCTCAAATATTTTTGCCTTGAGTTACTTTTCAGATACTTTCATACATACTTTTCCCAAGATGACATCAGACACCTAATCTACCTCTGCCAACTAGATCAGTGAAATTATAAGAATGAACAGTCATGTCTGGCTTACTGTTTGGCTTAACCAGCCTTGAACCTTCATCCTCCTTCTCTGTGTCCCCTAAATACCTTGAACTGCACAAGTGAAGCACAATGCCTGAGTCTTCTCTTAAATTGTAAAATAAAAATTCATTTGGTAAAAGGTGGTACCATAATTTTAATTCTTATTTCCTTAATGCCTTGTAATACTGAGCATGTTTTTACTATTTGTTAGTCATTTCTATATCTTCATTGCAGCAAAGTTTAGTAATAGCATTTGCAAATTTTATTGATTTGATTTTTTCTTAATATTGTATAAGCTATTTTTATGTTCTAAATTCTAGTTCCTTATCAAATAACCAATATGCAAATATTTTTTATTAATTCTACAGTTAATGATTCTATTCAATTTCCACAGTTATGAGATAATTCATACTTTATTACTATAGAAATAGTTCTCTAAAGACAATTGTATAGTTTGCCATATATTTTTCTAGGGCCAATAATCATCTGTGGCTGTCTTCTCCAGATTTCTAAATGTTTCTCACCCTGATACAGGTGCATTGATATGGATCCAAAGGAGCCAGACACACTACTTGACCTTGCTATACAGACTGTGGTGAAAAATGAGTCTGTAGCATTACGTGCCATTGAAGAGATACCACAAGAACTTTTTATTCCATTGTTCAATGCTGCCTTCTCTGGTGGGCATAAGAACATATTGAAGGCAGTAGTAAGTACTTGGCCCTTTCCTTGTCTCCATATTGGGGCCTTGGACATGCCGGAGCCATATTGTGATGTCTTGGAAGCCATGCTTGATGGTCTTCAGTTCCCTCCTATCCACAACTCTTCTTCTCGGTATGAGTACATGTTAAGTCAGCAGAATATTATGCTGAGTCCTTGTGCATGTGAGAACTTACAAGTCACCATACATGATTAAAAAAAAGTTGAAGGTCTTTGTAAGCCTATGGGTACAACATTTGTGATTACCTTAAGGACATTAATGTCTTACAGATATGATATAGACTAGTGGTGACTGAAGATACAATTGATGGATGGATTTACATGATGGATATTATTACATAGAAAGGGGACATGAGCACTAACACTGGGAAAAGCTAAATGAGAATAGAGGGTAGGCAATTAACAGAGATTGTGTGATTTTATAGGAAAGATTTGTTGTCAATTGGTATTTGGAGGTATTTGTCTCTGCTTCTCATTACTGATTCTGCTGGTTTTCATTAAAGCCTACTACCTCTCATATGTTTCATCTCCTCCTTTTCCTACAGGGTTCCAAAACTGAGGATTCTAGATTTAAGGCAGAATGCAGACTGCATGACCACATGTTCTGGCATTTGGAACAAATTTCCTTTCTGTTACGAAGTCTGTGCTTACTCTGAGAAATCTATTGTGAAAATAGGAGATGCCAATTACCGTCTTGCAAATTCAGATCCTCAAACATCCAGACCACCCATGGAATTATTAGTTGACCTTTATCTTGATGGTACCTGGATGACAAGTGAATTTCTTTCTCTTATCTGTGATAAAGTTGAGCAGAGTTTGGGGTCTCTGCACCTCTGCTGTAGAGATTTGCAGATTGATAAGTCATTTGATTACAAAAAGACCCTGAAGCTCTTGGATAGGGCGTGCATTGATCACCTGGGAGTGGATGAAGCTTCCTTGTGTGAAGTCTGCATGATTATGCCTGGGATGGTCCACCTTAGCAGTCTTAATCTATATAAAATCAAATTCAGATCTTATAACAGGAAACCCTTTAAAACCTTTCTCTCCCATCTTAGCCGGATGAATGACCTCCAAGAGCTCAGCCTAGCTTACTTCTCCCTCAAAAACCATGTGCATAAAGTACTCAGGTAAGGGTTTGGAATGGTTTCCTGGGCTACCCAAGCACCCCATTAATTCAGGAGATATACCATTCTTGTAAGTTCCCTAGTTCCTTGTATCATATATTTCCTGTCCCTCACCATGGACATATCTAGGAAACTGTAACTGGCCAAGCCATGGAATGCATTTCTCATAGACAGAAGAAAGGCAAGACACATTATACTAATTCAGTCAGTCAAGGAGTGCAGACACCAATAGATTAAAAAAGATACTGTTAAAAAGATAGTCCTTCTCGGGCTGGGAAGGTGGCTCAGTGGTAGAGCGCTTGCCTTGCATGCTTGGGCCCTGGGTTCAATTCCTCAGCACCACATAAGCAGAAAGAAAAGCCGGAAGTGGCGCTGTGGCTCAAGTGGTAGAGTACTAGCCTTGAGCTGAAGAGCTGAGGGACAGCGCCCAAGCCCAGAGTTCAGGCCCCACGACTGGACCACCCCCCCCAAAAAAAGACAGTCCTTCTCCATCCCCATAGACAGGAAAGGGCTATTTTCAGTTGATGAAAGGTTCATTCTTATAGCACTGATTCGTAATCATGATATGACCATAAATAGTCATTACTGGCAGACCATTTTTATTCATGGGTTTTCCTGAGGCTTATACCCAAATGCAGAACATTTTTTTTCAGTATTAGAGAAAAGGAATCTTCTGTATCCTATTTTCACTGATATCTCACTATAAAATAACTGAAATAGACCCTAAATGGACAATGGTGTAAGTAATAGTTGTTTTTGTTTTCATTTAATATTCTCAGTATCCTATTGTTTACATTTAGAAGAATTTGAAGCAACTATGTATGTGAAAAATAACTATTTTAGGGTAGCAAATCTATTTACCACATTGTTAGTTGACATTTCAATGTGTTATCAAATAATTTATTGTGGAATTATAGGTACTTAAAATCTAGGACATCTTGTCTGGGGCAAATACTCATTATTTAAGAATAATTTTCTTTTTGACTCTTCAGAGTTCTGTCACCGGAGTTGGATTCCCTCAATCTTAATTTTTGTGACCTAACTAACAAAGACTTGATTTCCATGTCTCAGATCCTTCAGGAAAGGAACCTAAAGATGTTAAATCTTAGTCACAACCATATACCTTGGGAAAATACTCAACCATTAAGGCTTCTTCTGGAGAATCTATCTAGTAACCTGCAGCATCTAGAGCTGAACAGCTGCCTTATTACAGATGGAATTCTCTCCAGTATCATACCATCTCTAAGGTTTTGTACAAGCCTCCGAGTCCTTAGCTTTGCCTGTAATCCCATTACCATGCCGGAGCTCAGAAGGCTTTTGCAGAACATAACACCCTTGATGAAGCTGAAGTATGTGATCTATCCAATTCCTCTGCATTGCTATGATCAATGGCATTTTCGTGACAGTTTAGATGAAGAGAAGCTGGCTGAAGTGAAATCAGAAGTAAGGTCAATGCTCTGGGCAGCACAACGTACTGACATGAAGTGGAGCACTTCATATGAATAATTTTGACAGTAAAAAAGCTCATTGAACAATGATATGTGGCCTATGAAACACTCATTATTCTTGCCTAAAGTCCACATTCACCATATATAGAAAACTACTGTTCCAGAAAACTGGTGTTAGGTAAATTGGATGTAAAACTGTTGTCTATAAAAGAAAATGGAGGGCTTTGAAAAATCCAGTGAAGCTTTTGTGAACTATTCCCTACATCTGCCTTCTTGGTCCTGACCATTGTACGGAGAAAGTGATTTAGGCTGACCCACTCACAGCATACCTTGTCCTAGCCAACACTGACATACTCACTTCTGGGTAACTGACACTAGTCAAGATGACTGAAATTTTTCCTGGATGTTTTGATAGAGTGGTGGCTATTGAAGACATCTTTTCCACTTTATTCTAAACTCTTAATTTTAGCCTTAAGATAACTGAGAGAACACACCTGCTGTTAAAAGAGGAAAACTATGCCCATCTACCTGTGGATGTCTAAATCTGCATGCTGCCACATCCTTTCCTAGGTCAAAAGCAATGAGAATCAGACTTTATTTTAGTTCCTATATAACAACACCGATAAATTTTATGTAGCACAATTATGTGTCACATAACTTTTAAAAGATGGAAGAACAAAAAGTATAAAAATTATCTCAGTCATAGCTTTTACATTTGCAGTGTGTTGAAGTGAAAATGCATTGAATTGTTAAAATGAGAAAAAAATTAACAATTTATATTGCTTTCACATTAGCGTTGCATTATTCCTGGTATTTTGTGTTGACATTTCTTATTAAAGTTCACCTATTCTTTG